GCAGTAGTGATTTGCTCTCTAGGCAGCTAGGGCATCCTGAAAAAAGCCAAAAGGCTTAATTTGTTACAAAAGAACAAAGAAAATTTAATATTTATTTTAATCATCATAGACAGTTTTTTTTTTCATACCTACAAGTTCTAAAAATGATTATTTCTATACGTAAGATTTGCTGTTAAAGCACCTTTTTCTTGGGCAAACATCTGACTTCAGGTTAGCATTATGTAAAAGCTAATCTCCACCTCATAGCCTTTCATTCAGATTTATTTGGTAAGTTATTTTGGACTCGTACAATAATACACTCCCTGTGACCGAGCTATGGATTGTCCAAAATATCGGACAATCATCTCTATATAATCTATATTATAAATACACTTATTTCAAAGCCTACAATCACAATAGGAAAAAAAAAATCAACCGAGGTCCTCAGATAACATCTGGAAAACTGTCTCCATCTAATAATGTGAATATATTTTCAAATGTCAGCTTAATACCCCAAATCAGGAATCATGTATTAAGCAGCAGGAATTTTGTTAACAAAATTGGAAAGTGCTCTAAGGCCTACAGGGCTCTAGGATAAATCTTTGGTCAATTTTCTAATTTGCTTTAAATATGCCTTAAAATAACATATTATGTCCGTATCTAGCTTTTAGTTCCTGGTGTGCAAGGTAATATGCTTTATCCATCTGTAGTAACATATAATTGCTGACCATAGAGAGGCTTTCTCGAAAGATGTTGACCTAATAAGTTTCATTTAATATCTGATACTGCTTTAGCCACAATCAAAGATGAGAATGCAGATTCCCACATAGGATATTTTGAAGGATTTCCGTTAAACTTTTAAACACATACACTTGGTAGCCTTAATGAATCAATTAACTCTTACATAAATCTAGATTCCTTTCTTTTTTTATTTCATTTGCTCTTACCACAATTGTTTTTAGGCAAAGTTTAGACAGCAAATCCTGCTTTAGCTCAGCATGTGATGCTTCACTACTAGTAGTAGCTGGTATACAGTTGAATTGTTTTCCAGAGGCTTTAATTATAGCTGTATTTCAATCTTGATACAAGGTCTTTACATGTAAATTGCCACCCACCTGTTGTTACAAAAAATAGAGATCCTTTGAGGACATCCCGCTGTACAGATTTATAATATCTAATCTGTGATAGGAGTGCTCCCTCGGTCTCGATTCAGATTTCTAAAACTTCTTCACTGAAATATCAACATTCTTTGTAACTTTGTAATCTCCTGTCCAGGTTCATTCAAAATGGCTTAGAACAACAATCTCCCACCAATGTATGCTCCTGACTTCAGGTTTTACTTCAACAGCCTATGGTATATCATGAAATGTTTACGGTTTTTAATGTTACAGATTGTAGAATGGTTATAAGATGTATGTATTATAAAGAAATTATATTATGTTATATTATTTTTTTTTAAATGTATACAAATTTATTGTATTTCTGTTTAGTGTATTTTGAAATGTATAAAATGCATTTTTTTTCCATGTCGGCGGCGCCCTCTGGGTTATAAGGAACAATAGTTACATAGAAAAAATGTTATTTCAATGCTTTTGTGTACCAATTGGAGTTAAAAACATAAAAAAAATGATTTAGTATCTTAAGTTTGCAATATAAAAATCATGGATTAAAGCAAGATACAAAAAAATATTAGTTGAACAATAGATGATAGTATCATGTTCAAAGTATACTCAGAGCTCTTCAACGGCTTTTGCATGTTGGTGCCCCTAGGTTATTTGTATTGTAAGCAGCAAATGCTATATACAATGCTTTTGTGTACCAATATTATTTTTGTTCTTTAGAATAAAAACATAAGAAATTAATTTAATATCTTAAGTTTGCAATATACAAAACATGTATTAAAGCAAGATGGCCGATGGCAGATCAAACGAATTGTAATTAAAATTCATCCGTTGCACACACGTTGTGTTGGCCCTAGAATCGAATTGGCGTATGACCTCGATGCAGTGTGTGCCAGCATTACTGTATGTAAAATGTTTTTATTTTGTATGTTGTATATAATATTGTGTGAATTATGAAATATTTTTAAAATTTTGTACAAAAATAACAATAAATGGTCTTTTAGTATTCAAAAAATAAATAACATTGTCGGTTAATGTTTATGTTTGTGTGTATGGGGATGGGGGTAGGACCTCGCATTAACATTAACGATTCCATCACGCTGTCCATCTGCCAGATTGGGTGTGTCCGGAAATACTTGAATCCTAAGTCAACAGAGACCTATTACTGTATACTGGTTGCCTTTTGAAAAAAAGAGTAGCCTACAAAATACAGTACTCCTTATAAATATGGTGTTAAATGATGTTTTCTGCAGACTAATCTACCCTATGAACCCAAAAGGACACTTAGGTCATCCTTTTTCTTTCTTCTAATATTTACACAGCAACGTAACAAAAGCTGTTGAGAAAGCAATGCAGGAGTTCCAGACTTAAGACCAGGGAAAAGCTAATTTGTCTGATACCCATTTTGAATATTTTATTTTTCGATTGAAGACATCGTCCTTGAGAGTTTCCCTCAATGGTTGATACATTTGTAATGTTATGTTTGATACCAAGAAGAACCTTGATCATAATACTAACAATACCAGGCCATCAAGTTTGCCGGCAGAACCTATTCGGACCTTAGATAGAAGGATAGATATAATTGGAGCTGAAATTAACAACAGTGGCACAAACAACACAAAGTTTGTGGTGAATCCATGTAAAAATGAAACAAGAAAATTAACTATAAAGTGGTTACAAAGAGATACAACAAAAATTAGAACATAAAATTGTATAATTGCTTGTCAAGAAGAGGTGAGGGATAGAATGTGTGGATCTTTAGGAATAAGGATGTTCTAAAAATTGATAGGCCTAACTCTCAGAAATACTGAATTGTAGTGTACTGGTTAATTCATACTGTGAATATAATCATTAATACATGAGTCAGTTGGCTCTCTGGATAGAGAATCTAGTGTATCTGGCAATATTGTCTTCATTCATCTAGTTAGCTTATTAGTCCATTCGAGTTGGCTCTGTCAATTGCGACCAAAAACAATATAAATAACGTTCTAAAATCTGCATCTTACTTCTGATAGCACCAAATTCGTGGAGGACCGAGATACATGTAATATTGTCAATGTGTGAAAGTTTGAGGTTAATCGATCATAGTAGTTTTTGAGTTATGCTCCCAGAAGGACAGACACACACACACACATACACAAACAGTCAGACCGACCTCATTGTGGTATCCCCCTTCCTTGGCGGGTGAGAGGTTGGCAAGGGTAATTATTTTAGAACGTTTCATTCAGATCCATTGATAAGTCTTTATAGATATTTAGGTCTGGGATTTTACATTTAAATGACATTAAATTCACACCCGAACTGGATCTTCACTAAAATTCAATATTTTCTTCCTTGTATAAACAAGGTAAAATTTTTCAGAAATTCAGTCGATCAGTTTTGGGGATATATCTAGTCTGAGGCGTTTCCATTTATGGTCCTCATATTCACACCCTACTTCGGATCGTCACTAAAATTTAATAATTTAATAATAATAATAATAATAAATTATTATTATTATTATTATTATTATTATTATTATTATTTTATTTAATAATTTCTTTATTGGACCATGAAAAGTTTTATTTAGATCCATTGGTGATTTTTTGTTTGTTTGAGATATTTACGTCAGGGATGTTGGCACTCTAATTTACCTTCAAATTTACACCCGAATCTGGATCGTCGCCAAGAGCCTATAATTATTGAGTAGTATCCAAAATATTAGATTTATGTCATAATTTTTTGTGGTGAAATCACCTACTTAATAATACCTACTTAATTTTAATGCATTTAACAACGGATCCTAAACTAGCTAAGCATGTATCTTTTTAACACTTAATGCAGGACCTTTTGCTATCAATGTCTGGGCCATATAATATGTATATATATATATATATGTATATGTATATATGTATATATGTATATGTATATATATATACATTCAAAATCAAAAATTTGTTTTCAGTGAAGGATCCTGTCCCTGCCGGTCTCCGCTCTCGTGTTGTATATAAATTTGTGTGTGCTGACTATAATGCCAGCTATGTCGGAGAATCTAGCCGACACTTCTCAACACGCGTGCGCGAGCACTTGGCAATGGACAGGAACTCTCATATATTAAAACACCTTAAGACCGGCTTTGCTACAGTGATTTGGTTCACTCTGGTTGTCCCTGGTCTCCCCAAATTTCAGCTTTTTTGTTGTTGTTGTTGTTGTTGTAAATGACCAAATAAATAATGAAATGAAATGAAATGAAATGAATTCACGCAAATGCATGCAAACTTGTAGTGAGGACTGTTTCCGTATTCTTGACTCCGCCCCATCAATTCATCATCTTAAAATAAAGGAGCCATTACATATTCAATGGGAGCAGCCCTCACTCAACAAACAACTTTACCATGTTAATAACTTTGTCATTCTGATTTTACTTCATTCCGTCTACCATTAATTACACATTGTTTTTATTCATGATCTTGGTGTTCACAACTTGATACGGTTGAATTACGTATAGATTGACGTATTACAAACTTCACTTCGTTTAAATAAGATTGCCTATA